TTAGTCTGACCCGTCACCCAGGACCTGTTTGCCTTGGGAGACCCTACCAGGGACATATAGCCCCCGACAACATAGCTCCTAGGATCACTCGGGTACTCAAACCCCTCCACCACAATAAGATGGCGGTTCAAGGAGGGGTTGAACGACATGATCACAATGAAATGTCACTTGTCACGTCACATACAAACAGAAACTTAAAGTCCCCATGGCTGCTCATTTTGCTCATTTCCAGCCATTATTGTTTAATCTTGGGTACCTCTAGATTAGCTTTGCACCTATCATAACTCCAAGTAGTCAGAATGATAAAACCCAAGAGCCTCCTCCTGAAAACGAGAGGATAGTTTGTGAACGCTGCCGGTGTTGTGTTGAAATCCGTTTCCCCTAACCTGAATCCTAACATTACCCTAACCACAACTACTGAGAGGGCCAATACATGAAACCGAGTTATGAACAGAGGAAACACATCTTGACAGAGAAACAAACACTGACAAATAAGCTGTGTTTTCGACAATGACAATACCTCAGATCCTACCTGACATGTTCGAGCCAGAATATGGAAGTGAACAGCATGACAAACCCCAACAGTATTAATTATTCTTTACTTCTCCCTGATAGCTAGGTAAACAGCGGTATATATAACGATGAAGAGATGTGTAACACTCTAAACAAAGTGGGTAATTGAGAAACCCCATATTTTAACTGGCATAATGCAGCCATAGTAACTTCCCCAGCCTTACAGCAGTTCTCTACTGAAACAACACATTAACATGTATATCCACAAAACCATGTGCAGTCAAAACATTCCGCTTTTCCAGTGGCACTGGTGGATGTCAGGCAAGCTCTCATGAACGCACAACAGCCTGGAGATTATGACCATTCAAGGAAATCCTTAAACTCTCACATAATAGGTTATTTTTTTAGAAAAAAAAATGTTTGCAAGCAAGAGTTTGCGAGATGTGTATAAACTGAGGTGCATAGAATTACTAGAACATACATGCACCTCATTTTTTGAAAATTCACCATTGTATCACTGTAGATAAGTCAAAAAACAAGGAAAGGCATGCCATGGGCTCTTTAAGATCTGAGAAAGTCCAGACTATTTGAGTGGATCTTTTCAACAAGCAAGTCAGAAACCTACCAGGTGTCCAATCCAGGTGTACTCTGTGTGTGCTGATACCCTCCAAATCAAAGCTGATATCAGGTCTGGAATCTGTAGGATGTATGCAACCTAAACAAATTAAAAATAGAGAGATTAACAGTCAATAAAATATACAAATGGTGAAAGTTAATTTAAGTTGTGTTAATAGAGTCCCAGGTCTTAGCCAGTGGCCTGCAAACACTCTCTATCAAATGGTTTTTTTCTGTTTGTCCATGAGCGTAGGCCCTAATGCCAACTAACAGAAAAGGACACAGTGCCGTGGTGCTTGGCTCTGCCATGCTGGTCTATGGAGGTTTTATAGACATGAAAGGATCCTCACAGGACTTTTGGACTTTGGATTTTGGTGAGTTTAAAACTGATTTTATTCATATGTGTGCAGGTGTGCTCATACTTGTTGTACCGTACTTTCCGGACTATAAGCCACTACTTTTGTTGCTTCATGCATACACCCTCATCATGGACAACGCACGATGAAGTGCATATGATGCCGCTTCAAGTTACAGGCGATCGATCTGGCTGTCGAAATACTGTATCTCATGTTAAAACATGGACACCTGCGGCTATGTACAAACTGTTTTTTCATTTTACATTTAGTGGGTGTGGTTTATAGTTTGGAAATTACGGTAGTCACATGTGGAAATATGTGTTTTAAATTCCTTAAGTGTAGCTTTAACTTTTACACACCCTTTATTGTACATATAATACATGGGGCCCGTGTAACATGAAGTGGAAGCACTTTATTCAGTTGTCAGACATTTCTGCTTTATCATGATAGTAACAACTTGTGAGGTCTTTTATTGCCTGTGACCTCTGCCATGCTGACCACATGGTGTAAGATACACTACGTACATTAACCTACTAATTGCATTGACTTATTATTTGTATTTGTATGTATGACAGATTCTTTGACTTGGGCCCTGATAAGTGGCTCTCAGCAGGGCTCAGTTGGCCCAGGCCCCAGGCACAGTCACTCAGCAATGGCCTACCAGGACTGCATGTACCTGTATGGGGGCTGGAAAGGCCTGCAAGAGCAGAGAGACTTCTGGAAGTGGAATTCCACCAACCACCAGTGGAGCTCCCTCAGAACCAAGTGAGCAGTGATTTCATTTCTGTTTGTTAATTGGCTGTTGCCAGAGTTCTCTGGTTAAATATGGTATTGAAATTGCACAAGAACCTTCAGTGTTGTTCCTCTTATGTTCCATGAGAACTCCTAAGATGTTAAATAAAATAGGAAAACACACACACTGGTTCTGTTTATACTTTACTGTAAATCTGCCTCTGTGGACATGTTGACACATCCAGGTGGTGGTGAAATAGACCAACCTTCCATGATGTGACAGTTGATTAGTGTTGCTCTAGTTTATTTAAAATAACCATTTCAAGACATGATGACCTGTCCAGACCAGATGAGGACATGCTATATACCATTTTGTACATTTCTAACATGTGCAGAATTTGCCTGATTTGTATAATCCGAGGATTTCCAGCCTTCCTTTGTCACAGCTGGGGACTAAATACATAAAAAGACAAAAGGCAGGTTTACTCAGTCAACATTGTTGTGTGTGTTCCTTCCTGCTAACACCACCTGTGGTTGTTATCCTCAGGTCCGGTCCCTCCAGGCTTGTGGGCCACTCAGCTGTAGCCTACAAGGACAGTATGCTTCTTTTTGGGGGAGGTGAGAGCCAGAACTCCCCAAACAACTGTCTGTGGAGGTACAGCTTCACCACTCAGACCTGGGAGCAGGTTGCCACGCTCCCAGGCTCTGACCCCCCATACAAGATGTATCACTGCTGCATTGGGCTGGGTCCAGGCTACGGATCTAACACCAGCTCAACACTCAAACCCAGGCTACCGGATGACAAACAGAGGCCCTTCAAAAACAAATGTTTTCCTGAACCTCTCACTTTTCTAGGATCAGAAGGCGCTATAGAGCTCGAAACATTCAGCCTGAACAAGAGCAAAGACAGCTTGACAGGAAAAGATGCACAGTGGACTGGAAACTGCTTGACCTTTCAGAACAAGGCTTTCAGGAAACAGTGGAGCTGCAGGGAGGACGAGCAGCTCGATGAGGAGGATGAAGCTATAGTCAAGCACCTGCCCGATCTGCTGCTGGTCCTGGGAGGAAAACCTAACCCTAGTCACAACCCCATCTCCATATGGCAGATGACTCTGACGAACTCCTAACAACCCGTGAACAGAGATTTACAAACTTTGTCTCCATGTAACAAGTATTAAACTGTTATATTATGACTTCATCTTGCATGTTTAAAGGGTTTACTGAGATTCTTTAATATAGATTTGTTAAATCCTAATAAGCACACAGGAACTGAGGAGTTTATTAACACAATATATAGATG